TCCCTCTCCCTCTCCCTCTCCTTCCACTTTTTACTAAGTTGCCCAGGCTAGGCTCAAACCTGTGATACTCTTGCCTCAGATTCCCAAGTGCTGTGATTATAGGTGAGCACCAGTGTGCCTAGCTCACAACTCAACAATTAAAAAAAATCAAAAGACAATCCTGTGTTAAAAAAAATGACAAAGGATTTGAATAGCTATTTCTTAAAAGAAGATACAGAAATGACCAAAAATATGAGACATTCAATATCATTAATCATAAGAAAGATGCAAATCAAAACCTAAATGAGGTACTACTTTACATCCCATCATAATAACTATAAGCAAGAAGAAAAGAAATAAGTGTTGACAAGAGTTGGAGAAATTGGATTCTTCATAAACAGGTAGTAAGAATATAAAATGGTATAGCAGTTTTGAGAAAAGATCCAAATGGGAAGGGAAAGTGGGAGGGATAGGAAGGAGAAAGGAAAGAAGGGAAAGGAATAAATATGAGAAAAGGAAAAAATGGAAACAAAGTCTTTGTAAATAGGGAGGTGTGGTGAAGTTGAAGGTAGGGCAGGGGAATGGGGAAAAAATAAGAATTAAGATACATCACGTAAAGGTACAAATTCCCAATGATGAATGTCATCATAGTGTATAACTTAAATGTGCCAATAAACTGAATGAATAAAAACAGAGTTAAACATAGTGTTCCACAGGACCCAGAAATCCCACTCTTAGTTATATTATTCAAGAGAATAGAAAACAAATGCCTTCATAAAACTTATATATGAATGTTTATATTACTTTTATTTATAGTTACTAAAAGAGGGAAGCAACCCAAATGTCCATCATTTTATGAATGGACAAACAAAATGTGGTAGACTCACACAGTGAAATATTATCCTGCTATAAAAAATGAAGAACTGATTCATGTTACAATAGGTGAACCTGGAAAACGTTATGCTAAGTGAAAGAAGCTAGTCACAAAAAGCCACATATTGTAAGCTATCATTTATGTGAAATGTCCAGAATAGGCAAATTCATAGGGACAAAGGAGATCGGTGATCCCCAGGGGTTCAGGAGAAGGGGAAATTAATGAGTATAAGGTTTATTTTTTAGATAATAGAAAATCTTCGGGAATTATTGAGTGATGATCGTTGTACAATTTTGTGCATATATACAAAATTCAATGTACATTTTCAAAGGGTTATGTAGTATAAATTATACCTTAGTTTTTAAAAGAAGATACATTGAACAGCCATGAAAAACTGAGCTAGTATATCACTCTAGAGCTTATCACCTATTATAAATGATAAATTCAGGATTCCTGTCATAATATACCCTACTGTACAGGAAGATATCTTCTAGTCTTGTTTGCAGGATCCCATGGGAACTGGGCCTCAGGGACTGATACAATCTCTGATACTGTGGCTACTCTTATTGCTGATGTTAACACACTGTTCTTTACCTCTAACCCTGGAGTACTGTGTCTTCTGCCAGCATCTATGAAACTGTGGGTAACTTATTACATAGTGTAAAATCTCAGATGCTTCAAAGTTCAACTTTCTCATTTTATATATTTCAAAGCTAAATTATATAGCTATGTATTTTTTCCAAGAAAACTGAGCAAGAAGAAACCTATAGGAAGCAAAAGTTGATAACTTTATGAAATAAGCTTATTAATCCTTGGGTACTTTGTCCTTAAGTTATTAGCATGTGTCATGGCAGATTTCTCATTGTTTGATACAACCAGAATACCATTTTGAATACTCAACTCCAAGGAGGATTCTCTTGTCTTTGCTTAGAGGCATTTACAGGCCTAAAACCTCTCTTTCTGCTTCTAATAGTATCTATGAAAAAGCAAAGAGAAAGGAGTACTGAAATGAAGAATCACTGGTGTATGTAGAAATTTGTGATAAATTTATCCTTGGTTATCAGGAAAAATGATGGCATTATGAAACATAATTTAAAATGAACTGAATGCTTTTTGAAGTGTATCATATTTTCAGGAGAAATTTAATAAGATATATAACTGCTATCTAAGTGATATAGTACTTGATAATGAATTATGTTATAGCACCACTTTTTTACTCTGTTTCTTATGTATTGTTCTGTCTCTTGGCAAACAAGTCATGTATAATTTTTTTAATTGTCCTTGGATTTCTGAATTCTTTTATATGTAATCGTCTGTTTAATGATGGCTCAGTTTATAGTATTCTATTAAGATGATTTTTAATTCAGAAAGCATTGTCTGCAAGGTCACTGATATGTTTTTATGACAAAAATTAACATATTTCCACTAAAAATGTTTTACAAATATAAATGCAGCATTTTAGAAGGTTTTTTAAAAATATCTGTGTCCGATGAGTTTGAAGACTTAAGGGACAAAACTAAACAGATGAATAAATTAAGTCTCAAGAATAATAAGCTCTAATATTTTACGTAAAATAGGCATTGAGTAAATGGATGTTGATTCCCCAGGTGGATAAGACCTTTATGATAGTTAACTCACCGTCTGCCAGATTCTGCCAAAAAATCTGATTTTTAACTTTTATGGTAGATGATGTATATTTATAGGCAATTTTCTGGCATTAATATATGTGGAAATCTGAAATAGTGACTCTCACCCCCACATTCATATGTTGAAGTCCTAACCCCTGTTATCTCAGAATGTGACTGTATTTGAAAATAGATGTAATTAAATTAAAATGAGATCATAGGACTCTAATCCAGTATGACTGGTGTTCTTGTAAGATGAGGAGATTACGACAGACACACAGAAAAAATATTAATTGAAGACACAAGGAGAAGGCAGTCGCTTGTGAGTCAAGGAGACCTCAGAAGGAACCAAACCGATCCTAATGACACCTTGACCTCACACTTGCAGCCTCCAGAACTGAGAAAATAGATTGATGTATAAACCACCTAGTCCATGGTGCTTTGTCACGGTAGCCTTAGCAACTAATAAAATAGCTAGCAAATTCATAAAAGTAATAAAAGATTGTTTGGGTAAGTATAGGACTTTTTTACAAAAAACAAATGTTATGGTCCTTTGAGAATAAACACACTGCCGAAAATGCAATTCTATAATGACCCACTGTTTCGTTTCTTTAGTTTCTTTCCCTTATAGAAATTTTCACACATATTGATGGTCTCTTATTCTCTGCCTCTCCTCTCTCTGGGTTTCCTGGGTTTGTTTGTTTGTTTTTCTTTTTCTTTAACAACACTATCTCTCAGCTCCTGGGTAGAGTAATCACAGCAAAAGTGACAGTTTATTTCCCCTTCACACTTCTTATACTTCCTAAAGAAACTTCAAATTTCTGTTTAGCTGGGGACCATCATTTGCTCTTCATACATTACTTACTTGCTCGCACAACGTGTGGGACAGGATATTTATATTAGAAAACCATGAATCACCAATGCATTTATTAAACGCACAAAGGGCTAGTTCTATTCTGTATTGTATTATTCTTCATGTTTAATTTTCAAATCTGAATTAAATTAATTTTATCATAGGAAAGAGCTTGGTATAGTGTTTTTGTCAAAGGAGGCAGTTGTTTTCTTTGATGTTTTTAAAAGAAAAGTTACAAGGAATTAATAGAAATAGATATAGCTTTTCCAAAAAACAAAGTAATAAGCTACAATCTTAAAGTTCAATAGCAAGATGTACCCAACTCCGGAAAGCCATGTAGATAGCTGCTTTGACACCATAATTTACAAAACACACTAGCAGATTTCTCACAGAAAGAATCTTTTTAGCCATAGTAGAATATTCATAGGTTATCAGATTTAGTTTGAGAGTATAGCCCTGGTATTCCATAAAGACACAAGTGAGTTAATGTTCATGGTAATCTAGTTGATAATCTACTTGAAATAATAAATTTCCAAACTTATGGTTATCTATCTTTTTATGAAGACATACATGTAAACATTTTATTTTGCTTAACAGCAGATTTCTTTTTAGCATGAAATTACAAGAACAAGGAAATTTTTATCCCAGCATTACTTAAAAAAGGAAGGACTATTTAGTGACTTCAGGTAAAAGCAGTTCATTAGGGAAAGGCTGAGAATGTGTCAGATAACCAGCTGAAAAGTGAAAACAAAATTAAGGTTATTTTTGAGTGTGTGGTTGTTTAAATGGGCACATGAAGTGTCAAATCAATCAAATCAAGTGTTGATTTCTTTTTCACTAAGGTGACTGCATGTACTGCCTGGTTGCCTTGGGACTAGCCAAGAGAAAGACTACCCCTGTCTTGGTCTGTTTTGGTTCCTCCTGAGTTTTATCCCCATAACAAAAAGGGGTAGGGTGGGGAGTTAGTTAGTGGTGCCCATGCCTGCCTCACAAGTGCAAGTCCTGAGTTCAATCCCTGGTACCAAAAAACCAAAACAAAACATATTTTGGTTCATTTGTCCTTTTTAATGAGGGAAAACTGATTGAGTCTGTTATGCTCTTACATAACCTTTCTGTCCCCCCAGCTTTCTCACTGTTCTCCGGCTAAAACTTGCAATTTGAAGGTCACAATTCTTTGACATCATCAACTTCAAAGTCTTTTGTCTCCACTCCATGTTCACATCTTAAATTATTGTGTACAAAATTTAACCAATGATTTCATTTTTATAAAAACTGCACATGATGCTTATGCCGCTGAACTATTGACCACCATTTGATGAACACTGCTGTGAATGTGAACATGGGAAGGGGGCATGAAGGATGGTTGAGAGAGTCTTATTTGATGTCATCCGTTTTCTTTGTAAAAACAGGTTTCTCTGCTTTTTTAGGTCTCTCATTCCATTGGAACACTCCTGCACAACCTTCAGTATCCAAACCAAAGTAAAATTTGATGATAATATGTCTTCACAAAGTTGAACCTTCTCATTTTGAGTCACTGGAGTATCTGATGTTTACCATTATTGTTTACTTACCATGCATTGTAAAAATTGATTCTTTCTGCCTCCTTCTTAAATTATGGTGTCTTTCAGGGATTTGTTGTTTATTTTCCTTTTTTCTTCATTCTTTAAATATTCCCTAAACTTAACCAAGATGTGGTGCGGTTGGGGAGGAGATGAAAAAAGAACTGAGAATTGAGGCTGAGGCAGGAGGATCGCTGTGAGTTTGAGACCAGCCTGGGCTACATAGTGAATTCCAGGTCGGCACCCTGTCTCAAAAAAAGAAGAAGAATTGAGAATTATGTACATGTTTCAACTCCTACAATGAATGTAATCATTATGTACTGCAAACTTGCACTAATAAAAATAAAAATTAAAAAAAAATATTCCCTAGGCATTATCACCCATGCCATTGGCTTCAATTATCACTCATATAATTAATGACTG